CGTTCGGCCACGGAGGCAGTTATAGTTATATATTGATATAGATAGATTAAGCATTTTATTGCCAAATTTACCTGTAAAGTGTATAACACAAAGACAAGAAAGACACATAAGAGTTGAGATGTTTGCATTAATAAGTAACCATTGACCTATGTAAGCAACAGTAATTTTTGCCAAGATGTAAACGTGAAATCGTACCTTTTTGGAGAACACGTGAAGTATGTACTCTGTAACCGTTACTATGTGTATATTTTTATTTAAGAGTGAACAACTTCTTGTTCTATTAGAGTGAGTGAACATCTGTTTACTCAAATTTTTGTCACGTCGCCATGTTTTATACTTATAAGTCTTTTTTTATATAATTCATAACAGGTAACTGAAAAACAAAAATATGGTATGTATCAATTGATTCATAACAGGTAATTGAGAATAAAAAATATGGTATGTATCAATTGATTATCTTGTGCTTTTCGATTGAATAAATTTGAACATGTTTATTCAAATGAAATGTACTAAATCGATTTTTATGCTTTTGATAGAATTTTAGCTCCTGATGGAAAAGGATGACGTAGAGAAACCAGATACACCCTCACCTAAAAGGTGCCTGTTTGCTATAACCTTAAAGATATTATCTAATGACAGGACCCATTTGTTATTTACAATATATATTACAGACAGCCATCATGATCTAACCTGGATATAACACGGAATATTCTTGTGTCGTGCTCGCGCTCATAAAATGACTGGATTTAAATTTATATGTTGGGTTGCTCTAGATAAGCTTTGTGAGCAGTTTATAATTTGCATAATTTAGTATTTTAATTAAAAAGTTAATTATTAATATACGTTGTGAGCTGCACACCTGTAAAGTAAAATCAACACCTAATACGCGCGAATAATGAATCAAAGCAAAAATGCACATTTCAAAAGCCCATGTGAAGATTTAGTTTTTTTAATTTGTGCCGTATCCCGATCATTGTTATTCCTTCGTATAATTTATACCATTGAATTATACTACTAATGGTATATTCACTGATACTAAGCTATCCCATTTATATCTTGAGATGAAGACTTATAAGTCCCGTGACATCCCTGACGTCATAACGTCACGTGGTATTTTACCACAAAGGCTGAATTCTCAATTTTGTTTTCGAGGTATCCGCATCGAGTTTCTTATATTGCGCGTCAAATTTTCATTATTTTTAAATGAAAACGCACACAATAATTTTACGGCATTTTACATGTATAAGTCATTGTTCGTTGGTTGGCGATTCAAGTTACAGTCTGTTTACTAAAATTTTTTTAGTAAGATTAATTTGTAGACAAGGAAATATGTTTTGCTTCTTTTGCAAATGTATATTAATACGAATTCGAATTCTAGACTGTATACAGTTATTTATTCGTCCATTATAATTCGAAATAAAGTAATTTACAATTTCAATGAAAATGACTTTTCTACATAAACTTAAATAGTTCCACTGTCTTTTAAGATACACTTAACTGTTTATGATTTTTTTTATGATACCAAGTGACGGGATGCACAAATCGTGCGCCTAGTGGTAAGTGGTACGCCTGTCCATAATAGTTGCAGTGCCACTCAGAGCTTTAAGTCGCAAAAATCTGTGCCTCTCTCTCTCTCTAATGCCCCCTGCGCCCGTCACACTGACACATAAGTTGACCGACTGGTCATGTGCCTATAATTTCACCAACCCCATTATCCTTCAAAATTGAAACACAGTAATGCTCACTTTACTGCCAAGTGACACAATAAGTAAGGTGGCATTACTTCGCTGGACTCTTTCACAAGGAGTTTTACTGCAACTTTTATTACTATTTACTACAAGACATATATCATATATATCTCTGCAAAAAATGTGATTTGCTGTATTCGCCATACTTAATAAAAGGGTGAGGCGACCGCAGTAAAATTGCAATATAATACTCAGAATCACGTTGCGGCTAACATCCGCCTGTATGTGTGTGTCGATTACGGGGAACTTTATGGCATACGGCATGTTTGGCTGACTTATTTGACTTTGACTTTGAGAATTGCACTTTTTACTGAACACTTCTAAAACTCTGTACCAATTACGACGAGACAATCCAAAATGTATCTATGTTCTTTAAGCTCTTGTATAAAGTTCGAAGTCTGATGTAATTTCAGTACTTTCAATACTGACTAAGTGCATCTTTTTCTTTTAGGTCAAATGTGAGTCCTTTGATATTGTTGAGGAGGTTGGGAAAATCAAGCTCAAAGTAAAATCATCTTAGATTATAATTTAAGAAAATCTAACTAAAACAGAATCGAGCGATCTACAAGTAAAAAATATATTGACATAAAGCAATAGAAAATATAAAGAAGTGTTTGTCTGCCCCGACCAGTAGCCGGTCGGCAAGAGATATCTTTATAATACTTATGCATGTATACATACGCGGAAAGTCTAGCAAGATATACATATTTTACCTACAGCTATGGGTCAACTACATACGGAAAGCTCTCAGCTGTCTAAGAGTCGTGTACAATAATATATTCTGGATGCTGTTGCGGCTGCCGCGTATTTTCATTTAATTTTTATTCTGTATGTTCGCAGAAACTCATGAGGGAGTTGCCGCTATCATGAGAAAGAGAGCGGTATCCTTAATACGAGTGCGTGGCAGCGGTTACGGCATCGTGAGTATTATTGCTGGCCGGGTCCAGGATTCATTCCTTGAACACTGGACTAAACTTCATATATACACGAAACCCAGTACATATTTATAAGTTGTAATTACTAACATTAGTGTATAAGTTTTTTTCTTTGTTATACTAACCAACACGGATGAATAATCCGCAAGAAAATATTTGAATTTGAATTAAACCCTCCCCTGTCGGAATTTGAAAGAACTAATGTCTTCTATAGATTATAAAAACACTGAAGTCACAAATTGATACTAGCGCTACCGTTTTAAGAACCAAAATTAAGTTATCAAACCTTTACGTAGGTTAATGTTACTATAAGACCAAAACTTTGAAAGTCACAATTTAATTGCAAGTACATTTCATACGTCAAGTAGGTGTATATTATGGATTAGCCACACGCTGAACAGGTTCTGCATTCTACTTGTATAAATGTCAAAGTGAGATTTGAGGCCATACAGATAAATGTCAACATGATCTATATCTCTTTATCGGTGACGCTTGCATGAGTTTCGTTTCGTACTACTGAATCTATTTCATATAGCTATCTGATAGTGAGCACAAATGGAAATAGCTATTTCTGGGTTCCCATTTTGTCTCTTATTATTGACTGTCGAAATGTATTGTTTCTAATAAAGGTACAATACACTATAGAGCTCACTCTTTGAGGTTTCACATCTGAGTTTCTCGGAATTTATGTGCGAAATTTAATTTGAAATTTACCATGAGCTTTGCGATGACGGAAAACATCGTGATGAAACCTGCACGTCGAAGAAGGTTCACAACCCTCGGAAAACGTATGAAGTCCCCAACCCCCATTGGGCTAGCGCAGCATGGCGGCCTAAACGACGTAAAAGATCCGTGCCCAGCATTGGGACGCATAACTGGGTTAATGATGAATGTAACCTAAATGGAATTATTCAATTTAATTTGATCTGTCGCAAGAAAAATTATGGGAAAACATGCGTTAAGACAGTTTCATGTTATGATTTTATGTTCAGCCGCATTGCGAAAGAGTGCTTCTTTGTCAAACGGCTAATCGTTGGAATCGTGGCTTTCAGTTGGAATGTGATTGTGATACTTTCAATAAAACAGTGACCTACGTTTAATCATGTTATAATAAAGGATGATCATTGTCATTAATAAAAAATCTAAAATGTTTTCCGCAGAGTGTAGCTATTATTGTCAAAATACAGTACTAAAAATTTTAATTATGGTTCACCATATTGTAAATAGGCTAGTGCTTACAGCCACAGTGCAGTTCCGCGTCCCGGGAAAAAATCGGGATTCGGAGTAGTCTCAAAAATCCCGAGATTTGAGAGAGAGAGAAATCAGACTACTTCAAAAGTAGCTTTCAATGCTTATACGTTAAACAGTTAAATGTGATATTTTAATGAAGTTCTTTATTCAAAATACAAAATAAAAATAATAATTTTATTATGTACTTAAGTTTTTCATTTTTGTATTTGGCACGTAAGAAACAAAGGGCGTTTAATGTGGTTTCAGATGGAGAGAGTCTGATTTTATTACTATCATCCTCAATCTCCACAGATTATACGATGTTCAACTCTACAGCGTCAAAAAAATTTGGTTTAGTACATTTTTAATACTGTATAATGAAGTAATTTAAGAATCAAAAGTCTCAGTATTCCCGGAACTGAAAACATCAATCTTGAGTCTCCAAAATGAAAAAATATCGTCGAGAGTCTCGATATTTTTGAGACCGAGGTTCCCAGCATGAAAACTCTAAAATCGGCATTAGAGAAAATTTATTTTTGAACATATCGCGTAGCTTATTTGCCGTACACTACACAATTTGGTTGCGACACATTTAGAGTTTCTTTAGAATTTCGAAATGACGAAATATCGTATTTATAAGGAGAGGCAGTAGACCATGATCTAGGTATTTTGTTCGAATTTATAATATTGAAGACCTTCTGTGATCTGTAAACTTCTCTGCACTATTATTATAAATGTTTCTCCGATTTGTACCTGTCATTGTTTTCTCAAATTTTGTTCGCACTCAGTGCGATCAATCGTTTTTTCTCCAGTGAATTCTAGTATCAGGTACTTAATTTCTTTTATTTACATAAATTATATGTATAATAACAACAATCTCTTTTGTTTTGAAAACAATACAGAGATCGTTTGATAATTATAAATAAGACACACCGCATCGACAAGAAAAGTAGTTAAATCGTGAACATTGAAGGAGAACATCACAGTCAATTTATATTCTACACTAATGTTTTCTAGAAGAAATATTGTTGTTAATATTTTAATATTGGTGTATTGCTGTGTGAATGCGCGATGTGGTGTCCTCCAAGTGCCGAGAGATAACATCTCCACAATATTACTGCAGGTCCGTGTTTTAAGTCTTACGATTAATGCATAATGTTGAAATGAGAATCATAAAACTGTGTGACACCATTTTTGTTTCTGGATTATCAATATTATTTTCTAATTGGTTCTAATTCTAACATAAACACATGAAACAATGTCCCTGCTGCTGCTGCTTTACAGGACCCATGGTCACGGTTGACTGATCAGTCAATCGTGCATGGGACCTGTAAAGTATGTTTGACAAAACAAATATACGCGATTTAAATCCGGAAAAATAGTTTCATTTCCTATCTATGGTATACTTCAACCAAAATTCTAAAAATGGATGACAAAGAACCGAGAAATGTGTAGATTTGCGAGATTCATCTACATTTTATTTTTTTCCATCCTATAAGGCAAATACCAATATGTAAATAGGCAGCTATGTTAATACCACTGTGACATTGTAGCTACTTTTCTATATGATCAATTGAACAGAAACCAACACTGTCAAACAAGAAACAAAATCTTTTTGAAAATTGTTACATCGTCATATTAAATCGTTAAACACTGTCAGGTTGCTTATGTAACTTAAAATGTGGCAAAGTGGCAATTATATATTTTTTTTCATTTTGAATGATAATTAAAAAAAAATAGCTTATACATAGGGCTCACTATAAGTTTCCGGGACTGGCCACTTACATAAACAACATTTAAAAAGTAATTACAACATTTGAAAATGGAACCCTTTGACAGTAGAATACAGTTTGTTTCATCTGACTGTCACTTGTTTTTACATTGTGGCGTCATTTTAGAAATTGGTTGTCACATCATCATGGATTTAACTCGTGAAAATTTTCGTAGTATGATTTTCTACGACTTTAAGGGTAATTTAACAGCTCGGCGGAGCTTCGCTCGGCTTCAAACTGCTTTTGGCGATGAAGCACCATGCAAGACGACTATTTATAGGTTTGCAGAATTCAAACGCGGTCGTGTGAATGTCAGTGACGAATTTCGTGATGGTCGCAAGTTTACTGCTGTGAACAACAAAAATATCGATGCTGTGCGCTGTATGATCAAAACAAACAGGCATGTGACATACCGAGAGAGCATCTTTAGGCACTGGCATGAGTCAAATACAATCAATACTACACAAACATTTGTGGGGGGAAAATGCTGTGCTCGCGGTGGATCCCACACAATTTGACTGAGGTTCAAAAAACGGATCGCGTCACTTGGTGCAATGCCATGCTTACCAGATTCAACGAAGGGGCGTCAAATTTGGTATGGGACAGGGTAACAGGTGACGAAACGTGAATTTATAGTTACAATCCCAAAACAAAGCAGCAATCAAGCGTATGGGTCTTTCGAGATGAGCCGAAACCAACCAAAGTGGCGCGCGTGCAAATTGCCTCTAAGCGGATGATTGCTTTTTTTAAAATAAAACTGGTCATGTGTGTTCGCCGAAAGTTATTGACATACTCCGTAAAAATAACCGTACACGCCGTATCATCTTGCACCACGATAATGTCAGTTCTCACACTGCCAGACAGACAAATATTTTTTTGAAGGTGATCAACGTTGACCTTATGAGCCATGCCGCGTACAATCCCGACCTGGCACCTTGTGCTTTATTTATTTATTTCCAAAAATTAAGAACCGGTTACGCGGTCAACGATTTTCACCACCTGAAAAGGCTGTCGAAGAGTATGAAAAGTATGTTTTAGAGATTCTCACGGAGGAGTGGCATAAATGTTATCAAAATTAGTTCATTCGTATGAAAAAGTGCATTAACGCTAACGGAGAATATTTTGAGAAACAATAAATTAATTTCTGACCATTTATAGTATTTTTTTCTTATTCATTCCGGAAACTTATAATGCACCCCACCTACGTTTACGTTTTCATTTTTCTATGTTTTACGATACTTTTTGTTTTTTATTTCTATGTAATATTTTTTTAGTATCTATTTTATTATCTGTTAACCAGTGCCCCTGCAAGAGATTGCATATGGATTACGGTGACAGTTATCGCTAGCGACTAGAGTAAAACGTATGTGTATACATTAAGAACGAATTCTTACGGTCAAATGTTGGTCTAATTTGTATTTTTGCAAGACTCAGTTTCGTAGTCTTCCAGTGCCGTGACCGTACTCAACATACGACCAACATACTACCACAAATAATACATAATGTAAAACGTTAATGTTTATTCTCCGTCTCAGTGTTATCGCCTTAATACGTAATATTTACTTTCGTCATCATCATCGTCAACACATTTACACCTCCCACTGTGTCCGCACGCGTGTCCTATCAGGCGTGGATTTAGGCCATAGTCTGCTGCGGGTTGAGGACTTCACAAGTTTTTTTTCAAAGGTTGCTTGATGCTTTCTTTCACCGAAAAGCTTATAGTAAATTTGAAATTAAATTGCGCACACAAATTCTGAGAAACAAACCAAAGGCTTCTGGTTGAGAGGCGATATATCAACAGGTTTCCACGGCTTTTTTAATATTTACTTTATTCTTAAAATATTGGTTACTATGCGCTATTATGTTTTTGGTTTCAGGACAAAAGCTATTACCGATATGCTTGAAGTTTAATTCGTAATATGTTATGTTATGTCATCAGGTTAAAAGTGAAGGATTACAACCACTAACGGAACCCAAACTTCGGATAAAAAGACAAAAGGGTAAGATACCACAGCACAAAATATAATCTAATCTATACGTAGTTACACTTAAGGGTTGGTGCGTTCTAAGACAATACGATATTGAAACCATATTACATTTTCTTTAATAAATTAAGTCACTTCGTATGTCCAATGTAGGTATAAAATAAAATTGATTTTCTGGGTTATTTTCATCTGATCCTCTACAACGGTCCACCGCCAATTTAAATCCCAATTGATCCACTCTATATTTAGCAACTCCCAACAAATCTCCTTATTGTATTTGTAAGGTAAGTACAGTCAAAGGAAAAAGAAGTTTTAAAATAAAATCGTTTATAGAGCAAACGTCAAATCATTTTTTTACGACAGCTTATTAGTATTAACATATTGCAAATCACAAGTAATAAAAAAATGAGTCTTAAGTAATATTTAAAATGCTAGTTTTTCTAAATAGTGACTAACAGTGATAGTCGCAGTCAAAAGTTCGTCAGTGACGTATTTGTGCCAGTTATCGATTGCTATTTCTTTTATTAATCGTCGCTTTACTAGTGGTTTTGTTAACTGTAAATTATATTCCTTAATATGCACTATCTGCGAATTTGCGTCATGTCTTAGAAGCTGTCAAAAGCTTCTCTTGTTGACAGTACCTACCAAAAAAAGCTTGTGAACACCAAGGTAACAAGTGGGATTAAAATATTAATATTTATTCGTGATCCCTGCATAGGGGATCCGATGGTAACATGAAATAATACAAAACAAAGCGGATCCACCAGGGGATCAGTTTTAGGGGATCAGACGGGAATAATCGATTTTTCCAGAATGTCGCTTCAATTTTGTAGCATGTACTTATATATAAACATTAATTTGAGCTGTATTTTGTAAAATTGTATAAAAGCAGTTATATGTACACCGTTAACATATAATATAATTTCAGGTGGCTCCATGTTTGATATAGGAATGGACCAAAGTAAAGCGTTTCGAATGTGGTTTGAAGCCATTGTCAGCCTATTCTCAAAAAAGAACGATGGCCTAGTGCATCCTTTACACAAAAGTGTGCCATTAGGATTTGTGAGATACTTAAAACATACGATAGGCATAATGTTTTAAATAAACAAGTTATTTTTCGTCCTATTTTCGTGTTTCATTTGATGTGTATTTTAGTAGCAGTAGAGCTACTTGAGAAAGAGGTCGTCCAGGGAAGTACTGCAACCTTACCTATTTCTACCGCCAAGCAGTAATGTTGGCATTATTACGTTCCGGATTTAAAGGCTTAAGGGTGCTGGTCAAATTACAAGGACATGTGATTTGTCAGCTTATGTCTCAGGGTGTAGTGGCAATGCCTCTCAGTCTTTGCGATTTAAGGCTCTGAGTGGCACTGCAACTGTTATGGATAGGCGTGTCGCTTACCTACAGGCGCACGATATTTTTCATCCCGTCCCTTGGTATTATAAAAAAGTATGTTTTTATGATTATTCAGACAAAAATTTAACACTAAGAAAAATTTCTTTGATCTGGCTGAATTCGAACCAGCGCCTTCAGCATGCCGTGTCTGGCGCTACGTAGCTCAGTAAAGTTGGGCACTTTACTGAGCTACGAAACAAGCCAGCAGAACTTACAATTTTTCTATGCTTGTTGCAGATTTTTGTTTTTGATTTTAAACGACTTTATGCTGTAGCGCCATCTGTGTTTTCATGATTTTCTATTTGATTACTTTAATATCAATTACATTTGAATCGCAAATTTATGATGTTTGTGAACAAAGCATATTTTTTAGATCTATTACAACCTCAAATGTTTTTTATTTATTTAAAAACAACGCCTAAGAGTACGTCCCGTTTATGTCGTAACGTTTTATGTATCGTTGGACAACTGTCGCATCTAGCCTGTTCCCATATCACGACTATGTTGGGACTGTGTCGTGGACGTTTATTTTATCGTTGGACGACTTCCAGCTATTCCCACTAGATCGTTACGACAATTTATCGGTTCACGGCAGCCGCCTTGTCGTTTGCACGGCAGAATCGTTTCAAGTTGCGATTATTTGTCGTCACATGTTTATCGTGACGCGTTATTTACCGTCAGACGACTGTCGGTTAGCTCTTCCCATTGTCAGGACAGTCTGTCGTTGTAACGTCAAAAAAGTCGTGAACGACAGTTAATCCTGGTGTTCTATGTGTGAACAACTTCATTTAAATATACAAGTCACGACATTTTAAACTGCACGGCTATCTGTCGTCACTACATAATGGGAACGCGCCCTTAGACAACTGGATAGATTCGTAAATAACGCACACACTCAACATAACGCACACACTCAACATAGAAATACATAGACAAAGTTGCATAGTTAATTACGAAAAAAAAAACACAACCAGTTATACATTAATACTTATACACAATTAGCTCCCTATGTAAATACACAAAGGCTCAGGGACATAATATATTTTGAGGCACTTCGCGGCTCGTGACAGTTAATGCTGGGGTGCCACAGGGCTCCGTGCTGTCGCCCACGCTGTTCCTTCTGCATATCAATGACTTGTTGCCTTTTGGCAACATTCATTGCTATGCAGATGATAGCACAGTGCACGGTTGCTATTATAAGCAATCGTCAAGCACCCGGGAGGACCCTGAGAGAAACCGGGAAAAACTTGTCGATGAGCTCAACCATGTTTTGGAACATATATCGTCGTGGGGCTCCCGAAACTTGGTTGAGTTCAACGCCAAGAAAACCCAGGTATGCGCGTTCAGCTCCAAAAAATCCCCATTCCTTCCACTTCCCCATCTTCAGGGTACAACGCTGACGCTGCAGGACAAGCTCAGCCTGCTGGGGATGAGCATCCGGAAGGACATGAGCAACAAAGATTATATCGAGAGCGTCATCTGTACCGCGTCGCGCAAGCTTGGCAACCTGAACAAGGTGCACCGATTTTTTACTCCAGAGTTGCGATACCTGTTGTATAAAGCTCAGGTCCGAAGCAGCATGGAGTACTGTTCGCACCTTTGGGGCGGCTCTGCCAAGTACTTGCTCGATGCCCTAGAAGGACTGCAGCGCTACGCCTTCCGTGTTGTCAACGATCCTCATGTAACTGAGCATGCGGAGTCGTTACAGCTTCGCAGAGATATAGCGTCTCTTAGCGTATTCTATCGCCTGTACCACGGTGAGTGCTCTGAAGAGTTATTCAACCTTATCCCTTCCTCTCCTTTTCATCAGCGGACCACCCGTGCCGGACTGCGTTGCCACAGATGGACGGTCAGTTCAATACCGTCCCGCACTAAATAGTTTGGCAATTCGTTTTTATGCCGAACCATCAAATTGTGGAACCAACTCCCGGCGCATGTATTCCCTCCCCTCTACAACATCGGGTCCTTCAAACGTAGTGTGAAGAAGCATTTGGCCAGACCGGCAAAATGATAGTGACGGAGTGAAGATATTTGTGTTTTCCATCCGTTACTCTCATCTCTGGACTGTATTCGCACTTTCCATCAGGCGCGGTGCAGTCATTTTGCCGAGTCACAATAAAAAAAATAATAAATAAATAAATAAATATGAACACCAAACATAGCTTTAAACCTCGGTATCAGTAGTATCCAGAAGTTCGCAACCTTCATAGGTATTCAGTTTCCAAGTATAAATCAGTAAACATGCAGAGTGTCAAACGATTATGGAAAATGTGTTATTATTTTCAGGATACACAGCGTGCGTTTTCTAATCCAAATTTAGTAGAAAATCCAAGAAATAATACAAACTTCACAAAGCAAATATTATTGAAATGGAAGCTTCAGAATGATGAACGGGACAAACCAACACAGAAGACTATTACAAATTCTTATAAAAAAGTTGTTGAGGAAAAAAAGATCGGAGACACAGTAAATTTGACACAAAAAATGAGGATAGCTTCAAATACCATACTAAAAATAGGCAAATGCAAGAGCGTCACTAGAAGCAAAAATTTGTCAAGACGATGGACCGAAAATATAACACCTGTGATATTCACAAATAAAGAAACAGAATGGGAAGAAATGCCTACGGTTACTACAGATAAAACCAAGCTAAGTGTACTGTCTGATGCTGTTGTGGAATTATTACTAATGACGTCAGACAGCAAAGAAAACGTCAGGAAAGTTAAGAATATTAGAAAGAAAAGAGCACAAACATATACCGGTGAATATTTAGAACGTGAATTATAACGTAGATCGAACAAATACAAAGAAAAATTTCTTTTGTCCGGTTAAATTCAAATCAGGATTTGTTGCCAGAGCGGGGCTCTCCCAACTGAGCTCGACAACATAGAGAAAATTTCATGAATTTCTTTATGTAGTCGAGGTTTGTTTTTGATTTGAACAGTTTTTTGTCGTAGCAATAGGTATTCATAGGTTTCTTACAAATGGAACGACGGTAAAAATGCCGTTTGACTAAGACAAGGATCGACAAAAAGCATATAGAGAATTTTGTGAGGTCTGCTGATTCGTTCCCCCAATAGCCCCAGTATGGCAAACTGGTTTGAATCCAGCCGGATTGAAGGATTTTTTCTTTGTATTTGTTCGATCTTTGTATCAATAATGACTCTTAACTATTGGAGTATTTTCACAATAGTATTAATATCATGGTCATAAAAACATGATATTCAATAAAATATATATCGCGATTAAAACTGTTGAAGGTCTCAGATCATTTAAAACAACTGAAATAAACTCGGTAATTTTAATTTATGTCAAAAGTGTAAAGCAACATGTTTCATGGAAGACAAGCATTGAGTTGATATTTAAATTGAATATTGCAGGAAAAGTATACTAATATTATTTACTAATCAAGTTTTATTGAATGTCAGGATATTTCACCACCATGATATTAATTTTTTTTATGAAATTACTCCACTAGTTTGTTATAATAATTAAACAAAAATCGAACACTTAGAAAACATTCATCGCGACTGCCAATTAAGCTACTGAACGAACCAACGGACCTCACGAATTCATCCATGTGCTAGTTGCAAATATTGGTTTTGGTTTTTAACGAGTTTTTTGCTGTAGCGTCATCTGTGAGAAATCTATGAAACAATAACATTATTTACGTTTTACTATAATATTATTTTTCGTTACAGTTACACACAAACCCTATTGGATGCTGATGGAAACCTCGGCACAACAGATGGCTTCGATGGTGGCACATGTATTTCGGCGGTTATGGAGGGCGACTCCTTACTCAAGGTCACAAAAATTCACTCCAGAAATGCTGCTTACGAGACCAGTGTATATCCTCATGGATAAAATAGGTCAAAATATATTCCCGATAGATAAACGATTTGCACAGGAACAATGGTAAATGTAGGTACCAATATAGATTTGTATTGTTTATAACGTTTTTTTACTTCTCCTTCTTCCTTATCCTTGACATTCAAATAAACAGGTATCTCCTGAAGAATGTTCTTGTAAACTTGATACACAAGAGTATAGGTAGATACCTTAGTGATTATTGACATGCACTTAAAAATTAATGGAACAGACAAATCAATACTAGCACCAGTGATGTTTTCTAAAGTAAAATAATAATTAATAAAACATGAACGCTATTACACCTATCTGATATAGTTACATTTTTAGAATAAGCTAGAAAAACGGGTTTTATTATAATTGGAAATTAGCTTTAAAGTATTTATGGAAATGGTGGCCATAAAAAATGTAATTACGAACGTTGTTTTAGAATGATCATGTCTTTGAACTATTTATTGGACAGTTTAGATGCATATTGTAAAAGCAATGCATTACGAAAGCTTCGTCAAGATGGGAGGCATATCCAGTCGTTTTCTTTCTACGGCTGTGGGCGGGGTAATATTTAGTATATAAGTCTGGTGAGTGGATCACCGCGCGTATTATAGTCATCCGAGTTCGGCGTGCCTCCGAGATGAAGGTACGCTCCAAATGTCCAACCTTGGGTGACACTTCTGATAGTTTAAAATAAGTGATCTTATTCCGCACTCTTTCGCTATACCTCAATTAGCAGTTTGCATTTTAATGTGAAGTGTGAAAAGTGATTTGAAATATTACGTTAAAATATACCTCATATTCTGATGGTGGTTTTTTCAAGAAATTAATAGTTTGTGTTTCTTTTTGCATTTTTACTTATAGGATTAATTTAACGTGTGGTGTAATTTACAATAAAGGTGAAAAATTTTACGTGAAAGCAATTCATTAATTCAGCCAGGGAGTTCTATTGTATTAATGGAACTGTCACACTCAATGCAAAAATACAAGATGCATTTTCAGACGATTCAATTGTTACTGATATTCCTAAAATATACGAGTATTTGTTTGATTTTGTACATATTAGACTTTATTAAACCGCGTTTGACGTAGAAACGTACTTACTTGATATGTAAGTACATATTGAGGTTATAAAAATGTTGGTTAATTGATTTGATAACATGTAGTTTTGAAATCAATTAACTTAGGTCCAGCAGTTAGGACTCTGGACTTTAGATGAGGAGATACCGGGTTCAATGCCTGGGCCCATTAAGGAAATGATTTTCTTAAATCATTCTTGGTATTCTACTACCTTTTCGTTACTGTGGTAGTCACAGTACAGGGAATTTCCTAGTTTCAGACAATTGGTATTATTGTTTCACTATACGTTAGTGTTGAAGGAATTATTCACTATGTTACGTCAAAAATGAAAAAAATCGTAACATATATATCAAATCTTACATACCTGTATGTATAAACCATCTTGGGGAGTTTATATAAATGTTTATTTCGCAATCTAGGCTGAATTAACCAGTATCAATTATTTTTATACCAGTGTACACTATTTGGAGTAATTTTTAAGACTTTCTTGGTCGTTGTCATAATTATTTATTATAAAACAACCCTAAAGGTAATAAGAACAGTGACGATGATCTTTAAAAAAGGCCAAGATAAACACATTGGTGACTCTTTAGGTATTTCTGCTATTGTTGGCTGGCGTGGCGACTGCTTCAGCGGGGAACGCAATAGCCTGGCCTGGCGCAATCCCTGTCTCCAGAATACTGCAGAAAACCACATTATCTCCTGAGACCAAGACCTTCAGCTTTCCATTATCTCAGTACATTAATGCGGTAAGTAGTTACATAGGAAATAACGACAAAATAACTTAATTTAAATTTACATACATTATAATTCCTAAACTGGTTCTAAACTTTTTAATTAAACTCGCATTAGAGACCGTTCATAAATGACGTCATACTTCTAGAGAGAGGGAAAAATGTATGAAAAATACGGCAAAATAAAATTGACATATAATATACATATAAGTAAAATAAATATGCTTAGTTTACCACGGCGCATCTTTCAGCATGATGAAAGTAACATCGAGAGGTTTAATCATAATTGGTGAGAAGACTACTTTGTGTATGTTGGAAACGCAAAGATTTTTAGTAATAAATCTTTATGTCATTTTCGAAGCAGTAACTAAACCCCATCAAGGGCACATTACGAGGCCGGGGGTACTATTTGGAACCAATCAATTAATACCACATGCATGTTATTTCATTCCTACCACATATTTAACGAACTTTTTGTATGAACTAACACATGTACTGTACATCTTAACTGGTAAACTATAGAGCACAAACCAATGTAATATTTTAAGACCTTATGTTATTACCCATAGTCATGCAATAAATGTATTCTTATTCTTATTCAAAGGTCGAAAAGGACGTTCAGTTTTTAATTGTACTTCCAAAAGAAACCACCACTCGATTTGTGGTAAACCAGTAAGGTTTACAGGAGTAGTGCAATTTGCCTATTGCCAATAAATTACAGTCAACTGAAATGGTCTTTAAATTTACGAGCTCGTCGAGATCCTCTACATCTACTTTGGGTCTGGCGGCTGCAGTGTTCAGTAAGTGAAAGTTTTTAGGGCCTGTTTAAACAGGAAATTTAAATTAAAAATGACTATTATGTTGTATAATTATATGCAAAATTCCAAGTAATAACGTAATAGTAATTTTTGACAAATGTTTATAGTTTCTTTGGAAAAATATGTTATAACAATTTCAAAAGGCGCATAGAATTAATTGTACTACGAAATATTTATGCAGGAGATATTAAATTCAGATATATGCATAATCTCGCCGCTTATTGCGTCATCACTCAATTATTTCTGGTTTAATAAACATATTTTTTATTTATTGACGGCAATGGTAGTCGGTAATGATAGTACACGTACTCAGATTTAATAGTAGAAGAGTTCAATGGGCAATTAATAATAATGAGGAAGTTCAATTTAATCAGTCTAGTTCTACTTTGTAACGTAGGAAGGTTCAAAATAATTCCTTACACTTTGATTAATTATACTTTTCATTCTATTACAGTTGCCGGTACCCTATCAGTTTCAAACTCCACAATATGCTTACCAATATCCGCAACTAAATCCTATTTCTCCTGTACACCCAGGTTTTGGGTTGCACGTACAAGGGCCGCCTTACTATACAAGTGGTGCTATATATTATCCACCAGTAGCACCCGTCAGTCCTATTGCTACTTACCCTACGATCATTCCCGCCATTCCCGGGCCTGCCCAACCGCCCCTGCAATCTCAACACCCAGGACTACCCCCTGCGGATCAACCAGCTGGTGATGCCGATACTGCTGTCGTTGACTCAGCTGAGTTCCCGCTACAAGACCAACAACAGTCTTCACCAGCACCAACACCTCCCACATCACAATTCCCGCCAGCAAGCAACTTCCCCTTTTTCCCACAGCAAGGACAAAACCCGCAAAATCCTCCACAAAACGTACAAGATGTAGAGTCATCCAGCCCGCAGACGCCGGAAAGTTCTGGCTCTCCGTCCTTACCTCAATTCCCGCAGACTCCTCAGTTTCCTCAGTTTCCTCAATTTCCTCAATTTCCTCAGGGTTCAGGGACGCCCTCATTTCCCCAATTACCACAGTTTCCGTCCGTACCTGGTTTTCCTCAACTTCCACAATTCCCATCAAATCCATCAAGTCCTCAGCAACCCGCCCCCTCTCCCCCCTCGACTTTCCCTTCAGGTAACAATGACGACAAAGGACTGAACGATGAAGACACAGTATCTATAGAGTCGATCTAAAAATGTTAATCCTATGTATTCTTAAATAATATACTTTGTAGTAAAATTGAAGATTATTTTTATTTTTGGAATAATTTAAGTATCTACTGTTAGCATAGTACTTACTAAGTGTTTAAATAAATATTATAAAAGTATTCTCATGTATTATAATTCTATTCATACACATTAGCATTAAATTAAAATACTTTATTACAAAAATTATACGATGAATACCGTGATAGCTATACTATAAATATTTTATTTGTGTGAAATGGAATTAATTACACACTAAATATTTTATAATCGTATATATTAAATAAAAATAAAGTCTAGATTACCAGATACGTTCATTTCTTTCGAGATGCCAATCTTCCATGTCAGTGTAAGTAGTATTCCTGCCGTAGATACCGACAGTATAATAGAAATTATAAGGGAACCGATCGGTACTGAACTCAATGGAGATATTGTAGCCACCTACACCTTGGATTTTTGGATCCGCCCATCGGTTAGGAAATAGCATATTCACGCAGAGTATTGTTGTTTCCAAGCCGGCGGATAACTGTAAGAAATGTTAGGTTGACTTTGAATTCTCTTGACACGTGACAGTCTGCTGCAGCTGTACAGCACTATAAGGCTCCAATTTTCAACGCGTCTTATCCGAAAACTACAAAATTGTATGATTTGACCATGATAGGTACTTTATTAGATACCTAGAGCTGTGTGTGTCAGAATTGTTTCCTTTTTAACCGACTTCAAAAAAGGAGGAGGTTCTCAATTCGACTGAATGTTTTTTTTTGTACGTATGTTACGCGATAACTCCGGTATTTGTGCACCGATTTTAATGATTTTTTGTTGGAAAGAGAGTACCTCCATAGTGGTCCCATTTAATTTTGAAGAAAATCATCCACCTTTAAAAGTGGCTGTTGCATGAAGATTCATTTTTATAAATAGCGCCTAATGATTGCTCCTTATAATAAAATTTAGCCATTTTATTCAACCATTAAATTCAATTATTTTAATGGTTGATTTTGCTATTCTCTAATTCAAGGCGTTTTTCTCTCTCAATATACTTTGAGTAGTGAGAATCGATTTTTATTATCTCCTGTGTCAAGTCCTATATAGTGGCGAACTAGGGATATTTCAATAAAACTTGGCAAATAGATGTAATTCCACGTACTTTTGAGGTCGGTTTTTTTAGTACTCTGTACTGAGATTATTATGATATCAAGTGATGGGAACTTATTTAGATTTTTGTGGACGCGATAAACACGCTGTGCACCTGGTGGTAAGCGACACGCTAGTCCGTAGCAGTTGCAGTGCCGCCGCAAGGTCTGACTTTTATATCGCAAAGATCTGAGGGGCACTGCTACTGCACCTGTCACCTTGATACATAAGTTGACAAGTCCCAAGTGCCTGTAATTACACCAGCACCATTAGTCTTCAAAATTGGAACGCAGAAATGCTCACATATCCGCTTGGCGGCAGACATAGGTAAGGTGGCAGTACTTCTCTGGACGAGCTGTTTCACAAGAAGCTCTACGGTTACACTTTTTTTGTTGAAAATTGCACCTTACGTCATGTTAATAACAAATAAAACTTTGCATAGCTTAACCTCTAGGTGAAGAATACGTACTTGGAAAAAAATGTTCATCACGCCAGGTGGGTTACCGTTTATCTGAAATTTTTCCGAGTAGAAGAATGCTAACCTATTTTTCTTGTGCTCGCTTTTATAACACCAGTTTCCGCACACATAATTGCGACCCTTCCACCCTTGAAGGACTTCTTTTCTTCTTCTGAGAAAACCTTTAGCATAACCCCCTTCTGAAAGGATATTATAGTTTATTAACGAGGGGTTTCACAAAGGTGGTGACGAAGCGGCATGTATAATGAACTCGAAACTTACTAACTCCAGCATCAGTGAGCGTAACCTTATTAGGGTATGGCAAAGGTAGTATGTGTGCGGTGACGGTGTTGATGATCCAAGATGAGTAGGGGTATACATCGATATAGACGGGCGGCTGTGCGTTGAGCCGTTGACGTTGCGCGCGCCGGGCGCACGGGACTGAGGCTGCCGCTAAACCCATCAGCTCGAAGTTACCAACCTAGATTTGAATTCAGTTACAACTTACTTTTATTACTTTATTACAACTACAGAAAGAGTTATAGTGCGTACAAAGGATCTAGATTTCATCATTGAATAAACTAAACAGTTGGGATACAGGGCGTTAAAATCCCATTTTGACAAATCAATAACTCGTACGCTTGGTATAATAAAACCACATGTGATTTTATCATATGAAAGTCAATAGTACGAACTTCATGAAATAAATTAATGTATGTATATTGATATTTTACGACTCTCCCACTTAAGCATCAAAAAGTCATCGACTACTTCCGTTCGTAGAATCTGTAAACCTCTTTCTTGAAAAGTTATCCTATGCAGATGTGGCCTTATTACAAGAGTGCGAACTTTCGGCCTTCAAATTCGGTGTTTCTTCAAAATAAACCGTGTAGTATATTGTATAGATAGCACGAACCATTGAATGGGTGACAATTGGAGCTCCGGTTCGTACTCCGCATCCCGAGGAACAGAGAACGTGACTTACTCCTTCGCTGCCAAGCCTCTAAGGAACAAAATTACATTACGCTATATAAAATATTGCTGAAGACTGGACAATTGAAACACCTTTCCTTGCGAAAACAACAGTGATATACAATCTTCATTTATTAATCGAAAAACGACATTTGTTACTGCATTTGTAATTTTGATCAATTACATTCAATATCAATCCAAGTTTTATTTTTAGGCAACAAAATTATAATATATATTAGTGGAAAATCTGATGTTGTTTATTATTTATTCAATTGCGCTGAAACAGCTGAATGGATTTTACTGAAATTTGGACTTAATTGATTTGGTTTGGTACTTAAGCTATTATTTTAATCAGGACAAAAAACGCGTTACCGATTTCAAGCGATGTCTTTTGCAGTCTCTATGAGTATACAATTTTAATGACTTTTTGGCCATTTTCTCTACTGTGAAGTCTCTTGGGACACCTGCAAAAACAAAAGCGGTATGATACTTGGAAAATATTCACGATATATCTTGTCTGTTGGGCTAGGACGACAGGGAGCGACTAGCGCGAGAGCGACATAAAGCGCGAGGTACTGCCAATCTCGCAAAGAGATCACGCGCTCTATATCGCTCTCGCGCAAGTCGCGCATTGTGTTCCTAGCCCTACTGGCTTTATTCTTTACTATATGTTTACTATAAACTAATTTAGACACACGGTATTGTATTTGGTTGACGTTCAGAAAACAAATGGCGACCCACTTACTATATATTACATTATTTCATGTACCACTTACATTGACTTCGAAGCAAAACGACTAGATACCGAAATGACCATATCGTTAAATAGACCACATAGTAAAACCACAAGGTAACTACGTTTAGTTAAATTTTTTTTATATATTTTAATATTTTAATAAAGTTTAAAGTGGAATAAACTTTACTTTATAAGTGTACTTCATTGGCTTACAAATAAATCAATGGTGTATTTTCTGTGTGCCACATAAAAGCAAAAAGTTTCGGCATATTTTACGAATAAATACTAGCCAGTTGAAATCTAGGTGTCATGACGTTTAATGATGACTTCTAAAGTGTCACTGTTTTGTAATCGCTGCTATAATTTTTCAATCGTATGAAAATATAAATATACAAACTATTTTCTCAAAAATATTTCCACTATAAAGTACAATTTAAAGTTATAAGTTTGGTTCCATTTTATACTTTAAATTGTTTGGTAATTTTAATTTAATTAAATTAATTAATTTTTTTAATTATTAATTTAATTAAAAATTTAAAAAAAATTAATTTGAGTTGGTAAGGTCGGCTGTGGCCTACAAATAAAAATACAAATTACAAAAATTTTGCTTAATTTTTTTTTCGTGATGAATGATAATACTAAATGAACCAAATTGTAATTTGAAAAACAATAACAAAATCTAGTTATTTTGCTACCTTGTCGTTTTACTATGTGGTTCATTTAAAGGGCATTTCGATATCTGATTGTTTTGCTACCAAGTCATTGTAAATCATAGTCTTTCTGCAGAGGTGGTCGTGTTGCGATCTAGTCCCTATACTGATCAAGTAATTTTAAAGATATAGTCATTATGATACCGAACCCTTACATTAAACAATATAAATATATGGACGATTTCGAGCTGCTTTCTAAAAAAAAATTTGTGCACGACATTGGATATTGAAAGGAAACAATAAGAAAACAGCAAATTGTAAATCGAAAGTTATCGAAATTGAAGACCAACAACTACAACAGTATATTTACGGTGGAACTGATATTACTTTTTAACTGTTAGTATGTAATAGTAATAATAATGCACACACTCAACATAGCCCCGGAAACCCTGTGTCGCGGGTGCCATGGACACGCACATAGACAATCATAAATTACACCCAAACTCACGAGAGAAATAAGTAGGCCATACGAATATTTCTACCGGTCCGGGAATCGAACCTGGGACTTCTGCGTGGCAGTCCAGCATGGTAACCGTTCGGCCAAGGAGGCAGTTAAATATGTGAAGAAGTAATAGGAGTAGGTACAATGATCGCAATGGAAATATTCACTCAAGGGAAAAATTTGTCTCCGTGAAACGTGAAACATTTCAAATTATGCTTAAAGAATTCATTTAAAAGACTTTAGCAGTTAATGCATTATGTCTATGCGTAATGTGACTAGATAGTTTAAAATGTTTCAAAAGAAAAATTGTAGCTTTACTTACTACTAGTTGTTAAGTTTTATCATGACATTAAAACGATACAATTAAATTTACAAGTTCTATATCAATTTAAACGTTTCGAAAGAGGTAATCAGGTTTGGTATGTATAAAGTTACTACATAGTTACTAATCTATCACATAAAACCAAAATCCTGCAAGACACTGTACAGTGCTTTAACCGGTTTCAAAAAAGGAGCTTTTTTTGTGTGTATGCTACGCGATTACTCCGACACAAAGTCATAAATGAACTGATTTCTGTGATTATTTTTTTGTTCGAAGACGTTAGTGGTTTCATTTAATTTTAAACAAAATATTACACTTCTAAGGACGGCAAATTAGGGTATGAATCTGCTTTATAGAGTTTCACACTTAACAAATAGATCTGATGACAAACTTTTGAGGTCGGTTTTTTTTGATAAAAAAGTTCTAATTACTTATGTAAATTCATAACTACAAGAATCTATCGGCTGTTATTAAGGAAAATCTATTAACTTTTTCGATATAAATAGCTTATTTTGCAAAGTCAATTACAATGGCTAGATAATTCTCTAATATCTAACGTACAATAGTTATTTTTGATATAAATGCGGAAAGTTAGTCATTATTTACGAGTCTCGAGGCTTCTTGGCCCGAGCCAGAGGCGAGGGTCAAGACGCGAGAAAAGTGAAAATGACAAATCCGCACGTGTATCAAACGACGTTTTTTAATACATTTGCGAAAAAACTACATTGAAAATAAAACAAAACAGTATTTAAAAAAAAACTCATTTTCTGCTAGTAAATTAAAATAATGAAATACAACCACTGCAACCATTATATAAATAAATGATTATTATTATTATTATTATTTAAAAGTCTAAGGAAATCTAGTTCTAACGTGCTATTTTTGTTTATTTTCTGTAATATCGGTCTGTAACCACTTTTCATATTATGAAGTCCTGGTACTTTTGTTTAAACTTCTTTGGGAACCCGTGCACGGTAGTGAGATACAATTTATCTGTAATACATAGAACAAATATATACATAAAAATCTCGCCTGTCACCCATTCAGGGGTAGGCAGAGACTGCGGACCTCCACTCGATACGTTCATTATATAGTATTTGTAAATAAATATAAGTTTTAATGACGAATGACTTACGTCACAAAGCACGTAAATATTAAATAAATATACAACTTCTTTAGTTCTGTGCTTAAGATTTGAAACAACAGTAAATTAAAAAAAATGGAAAAGTAAAAAGCACTACAGTCAATTCGGGTAACTTTGAATCGTGGTGTAACTTTGAACGTAGTTGCGTAAAAGATTTAAAAATTTATTTTATGTATGGCATCTTTTATTTTTAGTATTGAAACTGTATAAATGGGAACAAAATTGTTAAACGAAAGTTATGAAAGAAAAAAGTAATGTTAAATTGTATTTTTTTAAACTTTCGCAGTTTTTTCTTGGTGAAAGTAGTTTGGTGTGATTTGTTGCTCAGTTTTAGAATCGGAATTAAATATATAAATCTGAATATTGACTGGTAAGTTTTGGTTTCCATACTTAAGTAGAGGTTATATATCGCTTTTTAAAGAATAATTTAATTTGGTTTTGTATTTACGCGTAAAACGAATTAGATTTTGACGACGTTACCAAACAGAGAAATTTGGGTAACTTTGAATGTGTTTGACTGTGTTTTTAGAGAAGAGGGTAGTCTGTTTCCAGGGAGAGTTCTAAAAGTTACTCCTTTGGAAATTACTGTCTCAGTGCTCCAAAAATGCTTTTTAGGAGGTTGGTCTTGGCCCTCTAACGTTGAGACATGTCAAGTTAATAAAGCCGATATTGTGAATATTATAAAAGAGCAACAACTATCTAGAAAAGGCGGCCGTATTTATATTGATGACGATATTTTATTCAAGGAGTGGGGTGAATAGATTTTTGTTATGTATTTACTTTGTCTAAAATAATTGTTATAGGTGATTCATTTTGATCTCGTTTGATAGCTAAATAAGCGTAGAATTTATTATTAAACAGAAAATTTTCATTTTTATTCGCATTAATTAAAAAATCTAAAAAAAAAGTTTTTCATTTCAAGTAAATTAGTTCGTCTCGTTTTATTATGGCAATACCGAGTCAAATGTCGTTTTTGAACGCATTGTCAGGAATATTTGGACAGATTCACATCTAAAAAATATGAATATGTCGTATAATCTTACACAAACTGTAAAATATCTAGTAAATATACGGTTTCCATATCGAAGGCTTATCTTATTCAAAAATACCCAAAATTCAAGGCAACTTTGAATGTGACTTTTGGAGCAAATCTAGAACAGTTTTGTTGAATAATTACTAAATTCCTTCTATAAGAACGAAAAAAGGGCTTAAAAGAACACTATTCAGTTAATAAAGTAATTGTTAAGAAACATAATTAAATTTGAAATTATTAGAATAACGCAAAAAATGTTCAAAGTTACCCGAATTGACTGTAGTGCGAAAATTCCAACTTTCGGCACGATTTTTAGTACGAAAAATACCACGTTTTGAGTAACTGTATTAAAAAGTAAGTTTTATGTTGTTAACTTGAAAAATTACAAAAAAGAAAAAACTGGAAAATCACTTTTGCATATTCTCAAAGTGCTGTTTTTTAAACTACAAGACATTGGTTAGTCATGGTAATACTGTTATATACTTCTGTAGGTTGAAGAAACTTATTGGTGCCCATGGATTATAATTATTTTATTGGTGTATCCGACGGCGGGCTCACATATCCATTGTTCTGAAAATGGCCTCTCTTTGACATTCTGTTTTTAGTAGGACAAAAAATAACCTTTATTTTGGTCCACAATTGTGACATTTCAACGCACCGGACTTCGTGATCGTCACAGATACGCGTGAAAAAAAAAAACACGTGTGGACGATTATTGTCACGCGGACTAATGGCACGACCTAATTAATATCACAGAGCGATCCACGACCACAGAAATGGCACGTACACTAGCGTGCCTTATATTTATGGCGTAACAAGAACGTACAACATCGCGTAAGATTGTACATATTGTATACATATGTTAAAGCACTAGCAAATATAAACACATTTAAATCCACATTTAGTGTAGCAAATACCCGTTACATTTCACGGAGTCTCGGTTTGTTGAAGTGTCACAAATGTGGACCCACCATTTGGGGAGATCTTCAAAACGTATAAAAACGGCTTAGTAAGTAATAAATGCAAGGGACCAAGATTGCACGCAGTGGTATTCTATAATTTGAGGAATCCTATGCTCAAATGGTCGCCTCTGATGAAGATAGAATTATGTTATTTTATTTATAATAATAATAACGCACACACTCATAGAACGCACCAGGGAAACCTTGTATCGCGGGTGCCAAGGTCATACACATAGGCAACAACATATTGCACCCAAACTCACGAGAGTAATAAATGTAGATCATACAAATAATTTTCCCCGCCCGAGAATAGAACCCGGGACCTCTTCTTGGCAGACTAGCATTGTAATCGTTCGGCCACGGAGGCAATAAGTTTCTTTGCGAATTGGAGTACTTATTTTGTACGCAAATAGTAGTGAGATCTAGAGTGTTTAGTTACAGTACTGTATAGTAAAATGTCGTTTGCTTACCACTGACATAGTCTACAAGAAATACGACTTTAGTTCTTTTCTTTCTTTGCCGCTCTTCCAAACTTGGTAAACAAATTGGTACAGCGTAAACTGAAAAAAGAAAGTTTTTGATTATAGAACGTAGGCATAAACTTTATTGAACATATCGAGTTCTTCGAGGTTTTCGCGATTGTTACACATAGGAAATGAAACTATTTTTCCGGATTTAAATCGCGTATATTTGTTTTTTCAAACATTTTTTATTGAACATTACAACAGATATGGAAGAGCGGTAGTAGCCTTGTGGCAGAACCGTTGCTTCAATTGAAAGGTCAACGATTCGAATCTCCGTGGCGACAGGTACCTATGACATTAAGGGCGCCTTCAAATTAGACGCTTGTAGAAGCGCTGCAGTGGCACGACAGTGGCGCAGTTTGAATTACACAGTGAACGGGTACAGGTCGGGCGCGTGTCGGGACGGGAGCATGCTGTGTAATTCTGTGTATATATATATGATTGAAATCGTGGGTCGGATGGTCGGCGGATGTGTTTCACGCTTTATTGTGAATGCAAATACGGCGCACACGTGCCACGATAGTGGTGCTGCAACTGCGCTTCTAAATATTGTATGAAAATTGGAAGTTGCAGCGTGGCTGAAGCGCTATAATCTAATTTGCCCTATAAATTACGTACATTTATGAATGTTTAATATTTTTTTTATAACACACATGACACTCGTATCAATTGCCTGGTCTCTAACTAGGGAATTCTCAGTACTATGAATATCAGACAAAGAGAATTCATTATGGGGCACTTCCCAAAACACCTAGATCAGAACCAATTTAGAAAAGTTCATTTGCCAAATCGTAGCTGTTGTAATGTTACTTAGAAAATTAAAAGAAAGATGAGAAATTTCTAATAGAAAACCTATTGCATAAAGTTGACGAATTTTTTGACGTTATACCGATTAATACTTAATTTGATTAAAAAATACTGTTATTATTATTGTGCATTATTAATATTTATTATTAATAATATTTAGTGAGATAACATGGTCTAATACTAAATCTCAATACTACATTGCTTTAGTTTGTTTCTTTACCTCTGGTGTCATCTGTCTCTACAACAGCGATCAGCCGAAGAGATCTTCTAAAAATAAATACCTTGCTGCTGTCTAATCTTTGGCGTTCTCGAACAAGATTAACCAGCAACAACAACAAAACTGACACTGGCCCAAGCTTAGTGGCCGCTATTAAGGAAAAACAATAATAATAAGTATGTACACTTACGTGATTTCAAGGGTCGAAGTAGTTTGACGAGAGCCAGACTGTTTCCTACACCAAATCTGAAAAGCAGTTCAAATTATCAGTGCATTAGACGGTACATAATGATTATGAGAATGAATTACAGAAATCGTTAAAAAGAGAAACCTTGAGAATTCCGGATGCGGAATGATATCAGAGAAGGGCATTTCTATATATGCGCCCGGGCACTGAAGCCCCATGTGAATTTGTGATTTCGTCAAACCACAATCCTCTTCATCTCGCTCGTAATCACCGAATATAACGTTACCGCTGAAAAGCAAAATTGAACACCGTTTTTAAAGCTTTGCTTACTTTCAAAGGAACCCTATTAAAGTAAAAGCTAACGCGTATACGATGCGACTTTTAAAGTACATTCGAGTTTTTGATCATTTTGGAATGATTTTAATAGTGCAGTGGTTTGAGAAAAATGCCTGAAATAGATGATTTTTGAACAAGTACTGCTCATGATGGTAAGCTACACGCCTGTCCATAACAGTTGCTGTGCCACTCAGAGCTTTAAATAGCTAAGATCTGACGGGTGTCCCATGTGCCTGTAATTTCACCAGCACCCTCTTACCCTTCAAAACTGGAACGCAGCAATGCTAACATTACTGCTTAGCGGCAGAAATAGGTAACGTGGCAGTACTTCCTTGGATTAACTCTTTCACAAGAAGCTCTACTGCTACTAAATTAATTATAAATTTACGGTTCTAAACACTTAAAATTTGTTTTTTGTACCATTGTGGTGTAATACGTCCATATCTGCAGGTCAATGTTAAATAGGATATTAAATTTATTGAATATCAATATTTTATTTTTTTATTTTTAGTTTGTTATAAGTATTAATACAAATATCGAACACTTAGAATAATTTTTACGATCCGGCTGCATACTGTGCCTGATGGCCAACAGAGCTATGAAACGAACCAGCAGTTTTATGAATTTTTCTGTGCGCTTGTTGCAGATCTTTGTTTTTCGTTTTTACAGGTATGGTATGGGACACCTTACTCTTTACATGGATCGTAGTGGTAGTACGCAGAGAAATATTTGCAAAGAAAATATTAAAAGCATATTGGTATAAAATACAGGTGTTAGGGTGGCAAATCTTTCGTTGATGTAGTGTATCGGTGGACAGTTGGTAACGTACTACGTAAAATAAAGTGAGAATACGTGTTTAAATTAAAGCAGAGTCATACCGAAGAATGTATGAGACCATGTACACATATTACTGGTGAAATTACAGGCACATGGGACTTGTCAACTTATGTCTCAGGGTGACAAGCGCAGTGGCAGTGCCCCTCAGATCTTTGCGTCTTAAAGCTCTGAGTTGCACTGCAACTGTTATGGACAGGCGTGTAGCTTACCATCAGGCGCACGACTTGTTCGTCCCGTCACTTGATATTATTAAAAAAATACAGTTATTTTAATTATTTAATTATACGGAGAGTGTGTCACGGAGAGTGCGATGGAATTACACGATTTAATTCCACCTTCCCCTTTCCATCACCGAGGACTAGGCGTAGGCTTGGGTAGATGTGGAATCCATGTTGTGGATATTCCAAAGATTCGCACGAAGCGTTACGTTTCCACATTTTTATGGCGAACGATTATGATGTGGAATTTCCTGCCACTTTCCACCAGGTGAGATGGAAGTCAAATGCGCACTTACACTATATAAAAAAACATACACGTAGAATAGTTATACAATTTCACATAATGTGTTTCATGTAGTTCATATTTTTTTTATGTGATAAAAGCACTTTTGTCGTGTGGCTTACATATACGTGGGGCACGCTATAAGTTTCCGGAATGAATAAGAAAAAAATACTATAAATGGTCAAAAATGAATTTATTGTTTCTCAAAACATTCTCCGTTAGCGTTAATGCACTTTTTCATACGAATGAACCAATTTTGAAAACATTTATGCCATTCCTCCGTGACAATCTCTGAAACATATTTTTCATACTCTTCGACAGCCTCTTCATGTGATGAAAATCGTTGAACGCGTAACTGGTTCTTAATTTTTGGAAATAAATAAAAGTCACAAGGTGCCAGGTCGGGACTGTACGCGAGATGACTCATAAGGTCAACGTTGTTCACCTTCAAAAATTCATTTGTCCGTCTGGCCGTGTGAAAACTAGCATTATCGTGGTGCAAGATGATACGGCGTTTACGGTTATTGTTACGGAGTTTGTCAATAACTTCCGGCAAACAAATGGTCGTGTACCAATCATTATTCACGGTACAACGATTCTCCAAAGCAACAGTAGCCACGCGTCCAGTTTTATTAAAAAAAGAAGCAATCATCCGCTTAAAGGCACTTTGCACGCGCGCCACTTTGGTTGGTTTCGGCTCATCTCGAAAGACCCGTACGCTCGATTGCTGCTTTGTTTTGGGATTGTAACTATAAATCCATGTGTTGTATGTCGCATACGAAATTTGACGCCCCTTCTTTGAATCCAGTAAGCATGGCATTGCACCAAGTGACGCTATCCGTTTTTTGAGCCTCAGTCAAATTGTGTGGGATCCACAGAGAGCACAGCTTTTTTACACTCAAATGTTTGTGTAGTATTGATTGTATTTGACTCATGCCTATGCTCGAAGATGCCCGAATCTCATGCCTGTCTGTTTTGATTACACGGCGCACAGCATCGATGTTTTTGTCGTTCACAGCAGTGGACGGGCAACCATCACGAAAATCGTCACTGAGATTCACACGACCGCGTTTGAATTCTGTAAACCAGCTATAAATAGTGGTCTTGCATGGTGCTTTGTCGCCAAAAGCAGTTTGAAGCCAAGCGAAGCTCCGCTGAGCTGTTAAACTACACTTAAAGTCGCAGAAAATCAAACTACGAAAATTTTCGCGAGTTAACCCATGGTGATGTAGACAACCAATTTCTAAAATGACGCCACAATGTAAAAACAAGTGGCAGTAAGATGAAATAAACTGTATTCTACAGCCAAGGAGTTCCATTTTCAAATGTAATTACTTTTTGTATATTGTTTATGTAAGTGGCCAGTTCCGGAAACTTATAGTGCGCCCTATGTATATGGCTTTATTATACCAAGGGTACTATTTATTCTTAGTTATTTAATTCATAAGAGCGGTGGAACAACTCTAGAACGGTTGATTCTCAATTAAAGCATATTTGATTTAAGTTCTAAGTAAAGTAGATTTGTGAATTATTTAGTAGCATTACCTCTCGCTCAAAATTGTTGAAATCTGCATCTCACAGAAAGTTCACAAAATTTCCAAAATGTCTGAAGACCGATACACGCAGTGGGCTTGAAAGGCGGATTAAAGAGTCAAACTCCCTTGTTAGATAAGACAATGGGCTGCTAGCGGGTCTCCTTTATATATGATATAATTACTAAATTATCAGTTTTTATTTCTGTACAATATTACTGATACTACTTACAGTTTGTAATTTTTTGGCACTCGCAGCAAATCCATGGAAGTGCCCATAGCGAAATGTTTATGGATGAGAACTACACGTGGTGCTTTATTGTGATGTGGAAGGCCGGTTGTAACTAAAAAATATAATTTATTGTGAAAAGTCACAGAAAACATTGTAACACAAAAAGTAAATGTAATTGAAAAGTAAATGTTATATTTACAATAAATGAAACTTTGCAACTTTTGGTTTGTTAGTCAAATCAATACATATGATAAAATAGTAAACAGGTAAGTCCCTGTTGACTTTAATATTTTAAAGTAAAAGTCTACGCTATCTACAGAAGACACTTAAGCAAAACCAAAAACAATGCAAAAACATATTTTTTTTTAAATGAAATGAAATAATTTTGTCCGATGACGTCATGTTCCATAGACTAAATCGTATTTTTTTATTATACTAAATGACGGGATCATATGGACGGGACGAACAAGTCGTATGCCTGGTGGTAAACGTCACGTCTGTTCCTAATAGTTGCAGTGTCACTCAGAGCTTTAAATCACAAAGATCTGAGGGGTACTGCCACTGCGCCGGACACCCTGAAACGTAAGTTGACAAGTCCCATGTGCCTGTAATTTCACCAGTACCATTTCCCTTCGAAACCGGAACGCAGTAATTATCAGGCGCCTTAATAGTGATTCCAAAACATCTTAATATTATTTACTTGCCTATTTAATACTATACGTGAAGTATATTACAAACCGTGCACATAATGGATGACACCAAGCCAGGTAAAGGAGTGAGGTTTTAAAAGTCCATCGGGCGGCTGGTGGGCGAAATCATCATGGCATTCCGTAAAGTCTCTCATCACACTCACCGCAGAGTTGACAAACACTGAACAAACAATTAAAAATACCAAGTACTTACGATTGACGAGTGTAGATTATTATACAGCCACATATTTAGCTTAACACTACTTTAAAAGTAAAGTATCCAAAATAATGCAGTATTTTTTCAAAAGTCTGGTCGGACATTTTACCTTTAAAATTAAACAATATTCGACTGTCATTTTTTATTCTATCGCCGCTTTGTCAAAACATCTAAAAAAAGGCATTTTGTAAATTTCGATTTTTTTCCAATAAAGATAGATGATTAAATTGCAAGTTTAAGGCTAGTAGTGGTTACGCACAACGACTTTTAGCATCGATGCAATCGTGCGTTTCACAAACGCGCGTTTGCATCGCGCAAAGTCGCGGCAAACGCGTAACTGCATCGGTACAGCCTCTATGTTGTGTAATTATGTACAAAAAATCTGTATAGTTTTATGCACACTATTTTGCTAATTGTAAATTTAAAAGTGAAATTAATAAAAACATCAAATAAATTAGTTAATTAATTTCAAACGTGCATCGCGTGAGTATCGCGTTTGCATCGCTGCTTAAAGTCGCGCGCGTGTAACCGCTCTTATTTATCTTATTTATTGAAATCTAAATCTCGTTGCTATTTCATATTTTAATGTTTTGTTCTGCTAATTGTGCCGATGTGTGTCACGTACATCAACTGTCTGCAGACGACGTATGGAAATAATGAACGTATACATAAGCTGATTGGTGATTTAGTACATTGATAAATGAAGGTCAATGAGTACAGTGCATCTATTTTCTTAAAGTCTCTCGGAAAACTTCGGATTTCCGAATGCATCCGAATACAAATTTCCGTGTGTTGCGATCACTAGATTTATCATCTATCATAATTTGAATTAAGAATTATGAATGTACTTTAGTGTTGTTTTGTTTTGATTTCCATCTGAACTGCATAGAGCTGTAAAACTAAATTCCTTTTTATAACATAACATTTACTACTGAATAATATACCAAGGAAGTTAACAAAAATAGAAACAAAATAAAGACTAGTGGCTGCTATTATACACTTCTAAGCCTTCGAAGATTGCCAAGAGAGATTAAGAAAATTGTTGTACTATACTCGTATAGTGAAAATGAAGTGTAGAAATTGTAGTGAGCGAATAGATTCTCTTTCGTTGGCGCAGTCCCTTTTCTGCGCATACAGAGTACGAAGAGACAATCGACAATCAGATCGTTCGATGACGTTTGAGAGAAATGTATTTTTCTCAAACATGCTCGGAAATGTTTGCATTACTTTCAAAAAACGAACATGGAAAGTTTGTTATAATATGAACTGTGGCGAGACTTCTGCCCAGCTAAAGACTGCAAAGTATGAAAATCCATTACTGTCCACTTCTCTAAACTTTTAAATCTAAATACTAATAACGAACAACGTAAACAGGCAAAAGAAAAACTCATACAGCCAACAGCCCAGTGTTCATATTTGCGAGAATTAAGAATACCTACCTGTACCGCATACTTAAAAAATAAAGAAAACGGTGGTGGTGACATTTAAACTAAAGTGTTTTGGTATTTTTTTGTTTTTTCGTCGTTTTTTATTTTGGTTGCGAAAATAAGTGCTTGTGAGAAGAGTGATAAAGAAAATACAGTACTTAATAGATACACATTCAAACACATCATCAGAAGTTCAGCAGACACTGTTAATGTGCCTGGAAAAACAGTAATATTTTTTTTAGCAATTGTCCTAACACGTTAAATATTATTTTTAATAGTAATTAATAAAATTTTTACTTTTTTTATTGTACATCTTCCTCTCTTTAGTCTTTTATTATTTCCTCATTGTTTGAGAAAAATACTGTACATGCCTCGGCGGGAACGGGATTGCTTGACTCGTATATACAAGGCTTCTCTGGCGCTCTTCCTTGTAACTCATACTCGTCCAGCAAACCCTTACTTCCTGGCCTGTGCAATCTTGTACAATTGTTATTGTTGTATTGTAATGCATTACGTGCAGTAAATGTCCATATATCTATTATTCTAGGAATTATATTTAAGCTTCTTTCTATGGTAGGTATCACTGTATATTAGCAGTATAAATGTCCTTCCACGTGACCATTGCGTGATTACCAAACTTTTACTGATATGAGCTTTTCTAAACACGTCACCCACAATGCTAGTGTGTATCTGTTATCTAACTTCATTTGAAACGTAATCTATACATTGTTGTAGCAATAAACGCTTTATAGGAACCATAGAGTTCTCATAACGATGTATATGTAGTTTATTGCAAGCAGATAAGTCGATTTTCAACGTAAATGCTGTTTTGAATTGGTATTCTAATTCAATACAGATTCCGAGATATAATTTGTAAAACAAAATTTACTAGAGCTATTCAAACACCTAGAAACAGCTTAAGTTGTGCCTGTATGGGGCGTTATTTAATTGCTTTACCCGAAAGGGTATTTCACCCATTAACTTTACTACGAAGGGGCCCCACCTCAAATTTCCAAAGTAATAATCATCTTGTTATAATTATGAACACAAAGACAAATTCCTTCAATCGCGACCCTGAACCGTTTGTTACAGACACCCAGTACGTAGTGGATGGTTACAGATCTTTAACTGATTTTTTGCCTAGCGCCATCTGTGGGAAATCTATGAAAGGTTTCTTAACTCAACATATACAACTACCAAAGATTGACAAGAGTCATATTCATAAAATGTAATATTGATTACAATTAATGGTCTGTTGACGCGATCTGTAACTCAGTCAGTATGGCACAGATGCAGGTTTTTTTAACGCACACTCTCGTAGCCCTGCACTGGGGCAACCCAGTATCGCGAGTGCCATTGACGCATACATAGACAACCACAAATTACACGCAAACTCACGAGAGAATTAAATGTAGGCCATACAAATATTTCTTCCGGCCCGGGAATCGAACCCGGGACCTCTGCGTGGCGGTCCAGCATGGTAACTGTTCGGCCACAGAGGTAGTTTTAGGTTCGAGCTTTGTCAGATCGAAGGAATTTTTCTTTGTGTTCGATCTTTGTATTAATAATTATAACGAACTGCGATTACTGCTGCTGATTATTGCTGAGCTGCATTATCTGCGAGCTGCGAATATAATGCAATTCAGTAAACAGTAAACGTGATTATACAAAACCAACAACACTTACATGTACAAAGAAAAATCCAATTTACTGGATACATTTTTCACTTTGTTTCCATCTCGCACGTCCCTTCGAATTCAAAGAACTTTACTGTTTGAAAATCGTAATGAAAGTGCAACATGTATTGTTCTAGTGTTTAGAATACCAAAGAGTTTGGTATTTTTGTCGTCGACACAAATTCGGTATTTAGGAAAACTCCTATAACGAAGTAAATATAAAATGTAAATAAACTCCTATAACTGCCTCCGTAGCCGAACGGTTGCCATGCTGGACTGCCATGCAGAGGTCCTGGGTTAGATTCCCAGGCCGGGAGAAATACTTGTATGGCCTACATTTATTACTGTCGTGAGTTTGGATGTAATTTGTGAATGTCTATTTGTGTATCCATGGCACCCGCAACACAGGGTTTCCCGAGTGCGGGGCTATGTTGAATGTGTGGGGTGTTATTATTATTGATACCCTTTGTGTAACGAACGATCTTTATGATCCGCATTTTATAGATTATAGCACTACATGTCATTAAAAATATAATAATAATAATGTGCCGGACAAACTCAAAGATTAGCTGGTCTCAAAAATTGGCAACTCCCCATACTATGAGTTCCAGGTCAACGGAATTTATTCAGTTCATTTCCTAAATGGACTTTAATGGGAATGGAACTCTATACCTTCTCATACAGTGGCTACAGTGCAAAACCGTTGGGCCAACGAAGTCGTCATATTAAATCACATTGAGTGTTCTTGTCGGCAAAAGTTGTAAGTCTTAGGATCGTATATTGTTTACATAACCTTTAACGTATAAATATTAATTGATTTCGATGGGAGTGACGATGAATATAACAAACGTAAGAATAATGAAGGAAAACGGAATTCGAAAACAATTCAAAACTGTAAAAATAAGTGGCCAGGACCAGAAAAGAGGATGATAAAAATGTGGGATGACGATAAAGGAGGTAAACATTGTCACAAACTTATTTGTATTTTTTTTATAATTAAAATAACAAGACGAATAAATCGTGCACCTGATGGTAAGCTACACGCCTGTTTATAACAGTTGCAGTGCCACTCAGAGCTTTAAATCGGAAGGATCTGAGTGGCTCTGCCATTACGCCCGACACCCTGAGATATTAGTTGACAAGTCCCTAGCGCCTGTAATTTCACTAGCACCCTTAACCTTGAAAACCGGAACACAGTAATCTAACATTACTGGTTGGCGGCAGAAATAGGTAAGGTGGCAGTACTTCCCTGGACGAACTCTTTCACGAGGAGATCTACAGCTACTAAACTATTCACAACATAATTCGCAGTGTTCAATTGTGTCGTATCGATGTTTATTAAATTCTAGGCGCAGAACGACTGATAAACCCGAAAACTTTGAAGAGTTATACATGCACTTTATAAAAATGAAATTTATTTTTTCTCTAAGTGTTGTGAATTATTCAACTATAACGATTTGCTTTAAAAATCTTGTATTGTCACCGTAACTAAGCTGCTTGGGGAAGTACTCAGGGCTAAAACCTTGTTTTAATAGATGTTGACCTCAATCATTAATCAACAAGTAATACCCACCAGTAACTTTCTTAGATCAATTATCACGTGAACAATAGTGATTAATTTTGGGTTTCTTATTTTACTTCGTGAGTAATTAACACCTCAAAATGTTTTGTTTGATGATGCAGTACGTACATTTATCTAAAAAATGCACCTTGTAGAACAGCTTTTAATTTTTTTATAAGCTACAACGCATAGTTAAGAATCTTTGGCGTCTCCCGAAACACCCGAAATTTAGAAAAGTTAAAATTTGTAAATAACAATAATAACGCAACACACTCATAACTCCGCACTAGGAAAATCCTGAGTGCGGGTGCCATGGACACTCACATAGACAACCACAAATGACACCCAAACTCACGAGAGAAATAAATGTAGGCCATACACATGTTTCTCCCGGCCTGGGAATCGAACCCAGGACCTCTGCGTGCCAGTCCAGCATAGTAACCGATGAAATGACCTTCTCAAGAATTCAATTCCAATCGTCATGTCATATGATAAGATTAAACTATACAAAATTAAGTAAATTATACCTTACGCTACAACATGCGAAGTACTTAATTTACAATAGTCCCCTTAGGCCTTAATCCGGCCCTAACGAAGAAATGTAGGAAAACGCAAGTCGCATTTGCCGAAAAATCAGCCACGTAGCTTTATAGCGCGCCTAGTGTTGCACTATTTACTTACTTATATTGATTTATCGGAATCGGCATTTATCGGAAAATCGTCCCGTCCAGTACCAAGTGTATTATAAAAATAGGGAAATCGTTTTTTTTTTCTACTGGTGTATTTTTCACTTGCATTTAGAAATACTTTTAACTAATAAATACTACAGGAATTCAGTGACTGCCAAAACTAAGAGTTCATTTTAGTAAATTCAACGTTTCAAGCTATTTTTTTAATAATCTTGAATTTAGTGTAGTGAAACTTTTAACACGTATAATGGAAATAAAATAGTTTCTCGGAGGTCGGACCGAAAATTCCCATAGTTCGTTTTCATAATTATTTTTGAGAATAGATTTTCACGTTGGTAACTTGATTATTTATTACAATTCGCTAATCAACCTGCACGTAAGTAACCTGAGCGTACTTTTACTTTCGAATTATCTCTAGAAGGCCACTTAAGCCAGACAAGGAGATAAAAGTCTTCTTTTTTATTATGTTTGTTTGTGGTTTTAAAATTAACATTTATTGATTATTCTGCTACCTTGCTTTTTACTAGCACTCCTACTTCTCTTCTTTCTACTGACAATTTATGAATTTCTTGGAACAATTCATTAGGTTTATTTCTAGTGGAGTTCCTTATGATTTGTGGTGTAAGAAAGAAAGTCCATGTTACTTAATCTATTGAGTATTCAATCTAGGTTTGTACGGAACAGCATCACATTTCCTCTTTTGATTTTATGAGGTAGATTTTTGTTTTTAGGGCCTGAGAGAGTGTTGTTATCATTTGCGTTTATGCGAGTGTTCTTATCAAATAAAATTAATAACAAATAAAAAGACAATTTATTTACCAAGTAATAAAATAAAAGCAATCGTTTTATTTTAAATGTTGTATGTTTTTAACATTCAAAATAAAGCAATTACTTTTCGAAGAAAAGAAAGAAGCTTCAGCAATTTATTTGCAGGCTTCACTTGCAAGTATCCGCCACTGGCGACACCGTAACATATCGAGACGGGTATCTATCTATATCTATATATTAAAATATAATATAAATAAGACGGTACGTTACTCATTATATATACAAAACTTAGTACAGAAACAACAATTATTCAATTTTTAAACCTTAAATAACATACGTACCGACCGCCGACGATACTGCACTGAGCAATAAAGGGTATTTTCCTATGGACAAAGAATATAACTGGCAGAGAATGGAAGTTAATGTAGCCGAGTATTAGAACTACATACGAAACTTTACTAAATAAATAGGTACTCAACCTCATCTTCTACAAGGATAGATATATGAGATCACTTACTTATATGTATGAAACTATTACATAAAATCAAATGTGTAAAAAGAAACAACAGTGGGGAATAGAAATAATATTGTTTAATAATCTGGGTTAGGATGATAAAAATTAAAATTAATATCAGCCGGTAGTTTGAATTCACCGCTTAAAAAGAATTCATGCACTTCTAATCGTTGAATGGAATTCATCATTAGGTAATGAACTATGCCTTGACAATAATACATGGGGAAACGACTATTGACAAACATGAACAACCTATTGGTAAAAATTTTTACTACCACACATTGCAATTTACGATTAATTGTATTCTTCTTGGCCAGTAGCTGCAAAGGAGAACAGAAAATTTTAAATATTGGTACTCTAGTACACTCGGCGTCAAAATTATCTTAACGGGAAAAATATTAGTACAGTAAAATTTTGACTTATCAATTTTGTTGTCTTCCTAAAGAAAACAAGTTCTTTGAAGACTAAAATGATTTTTTGATTAGTCGGATTGCTCTGGTAATTTTATAGAGCCGGTGTCTTTTTGTTTATTGTGGACTGTACATGACACATGTATGTATATAATAAAATAGTTATGAATTATAATTCATAACTATTTTTTATGATAACACAGGTTGTATAGAAGTTTAAGGCGACAAAATAAGTTTACCTATTTTCACTGTGGTAGGCCAAATATTACGCATACAAACATATTGAAAGTACATTGTCTATTTACTGTCACGCATTATTTTTTATTTTTTTTTTTTTTTATTGCGACTCGACAAAATGACTGCACCGCGCCTGATGGAAAGTGCGAATACAGTCCAGAGATGAGAGTAACGGATGGAAAACACAAATATCTTCACTCCGTCACTATCATTTTGCCGGTCTGGCCAAATGCACTGGATGTACACCAACTGATCCCTGAACGCGATTCGCAAAAGCGTTTCACTGTGGAGGGTTTTCCGCCGTGTGTACTGTGGTCGCTATCCAGTCGGCACAGAGCCTACCACAATGCTAAGCAGATGGACACTTGTGACGCCCTCGGTCGCCTCTTACGACCCCCACGGGCATGTATGGGGAGGCGACAATGTATTCTTAAGCCGTCGCCCCACGGCTAAAATTAATTAATTAATTAATTAAAAATAATTAGCAAAGTAAATTAGGTGTAACATGTTTATTTTTATTATATATCATTCAGACATGCACACATGGATGAGTCAGTTAATAATATAAACGGTGTGAATTTGGGTCAATATTAATAAAACAATTGTAAAAATAAATCCAAAAACCAAAGAGATTATAAAAAAATAGCGTGCTATAATAATATTTGAACAATAAATTACAAGTTTTTTATAAAAAACGACCTCAAAGGCCACGGCCTTTGAGGTCGTTTTATGCTGCTGTAGCATTATTCCACGGAATTACATCTATTTGCCAAGTTTTATTGAGGACGGTTACTGGAAATGTGTGTTCATCCCCTACTTTCCACAAAAAAAGAAACATCACATTCGGGTAACAAATGCCTTATTCACATTCTTATTCATATTCACAAATGAGTTATCGCGTAACATACATACAAAAAAAAATACAGTCTTACTGAGAACCTCCTCCTTTTTTTGAAGTCGGTTAAAACAAAGGAATGTAACTTACATAAAGAAACCTTTGTGGGGCCTCGGCTTCGGTGGGAATTTTCGTTACGAGTGTTTTTCTAAGATATTTACGCAACAAATTTTCCCTATCGCATTGTCCAAACTTATAGACACTATGTTGAAAATCTGAAAAAAAATATCGAATGTTTGCTGTTTAAGCAGAACATTATTTTAATTAGAAATCTACCGTGAGACTCAGACATGTTATCCAATGTATCCATAGCATTATGATTATGGGGTATTAGCTCCTCGCTGCCATTCGCGCCCTCACCCGTACTGAGTGACGGGACTATTAGGGCTTTGGCGTGCAGTTTTCGTCGAGTCACTGCCATGTTGCCATGGAAGCTCATGACTAAGGACCACGGATTGTTTCGAAACACATCGAGCAAAACTTCGACAAAAATATACGAGTTAGCTTAGTTAATATAGAATATTATTATTCTGAATCTGTTAACCATGCACATACGTCTATCTTTCGCAATATTTGCACGAAATATTTGTTAATCAAAATGTATCAGTCATTGTTATTGACAAATTCATGTCATTGAAGTTTATATAATTTTTTTTTTTTTTTTTTAATTTATTAAGGCTTTGGCAAAGCCATCAGCCTAAACATGAAGTTTAAATATGTTTCTGTAAATATGGCTGCCACAAAGAGGATAGGCAATTTGAGGCGGCGTGCTTGGATTGACTCGGGATTCCTTAAAACGGGCCGATACGGGTATTTTATTTCGAGATTCGTATAATTTCGCGTTTTAATCTTCGATTAAGGCACAATAGCACTATCCTATTCCACTTTAAACTAGATTTCACAAAATAATTGAAAGTCAAAATAAAAACGACACTTTTCCCTCCAAAAGGTCCAGAGCGAATCAGTTTATATAATGTACTTAAAAGTGTTACCATGTTAAAATATTAAAGCATACCTCGGCGTAGTTTGTCAACTTGGCTATAACCTCCACGACGCAAGGAATGATGGGCTTGGTTAAAATTTATGGCTTTCCAACCATCACTGGCGCCTTAATAAGGGGAAAAAAATGTAAATAAGTCTATTATGGCAATACGTTTTAGGTCGACCTCTCAATATTACAGATTTCTTCGTGGCCTTTTGTTCTTTCTTCCCACATTATCCTCCATAATGCCTCCGGCAGTTCAAGGCTATTCCTGCTTATACCTATTGAACTTATGCTACAGCATTATTAATTTGGTGTCATAGTTGAAGCTTGTTCTGCCAATTTAGTAATTTCTTTTCTTAGCGATTATGATAAGAAACATGGTTAAGAAACTTGCATTTATAACAAAATTCAAAGAGAGTTGTATAGAGATGTGAAGGTATAGAAATACCGCACTCAGCAGAGGAACGCACACAGGTAAACATCGAACTCGACTTACCAAACAAATGAACATTAAGTGTTAACAACGACAATAAAATATGCTGCTGTAGCATTATTTATGTCGCTGTGATGAAGGATTTAGGTGATGAGCGTCTCTTTGTGTCTATTATATGGCAGCTTTTCTAAGTTCAAATCCTTTGTAGCCGATTTAGATACAACAGATATATTACTATTTGACGAAGTGTGAACGAACATTGATGTTACGTCGGTAAAATGGAGTAATTAATTCCATTGATTCAAGTAATGAAATCTTAAGAGAAATCTTAGTTTTATACCGCTTCTAAGTTTACCAATAACCTTAAATGGTTTCAAAATATTTGGTATAATCTGTCTTTGATACGCATTCTTTTCTTGTTGTGACATTTTGTTATTTGGCTCTAAAGAGAATTCGAAAACTTTTCGGCAAATTGTAAAAAAATATTTTTTCTTTTGTCAAGTAACGTGACGATCAAGTGGTGTGCTTGATGTCAAGCGACACGCCTGTCTATAACAGTTGCAGTACCACTCTGAGCTTTAAATCGCAAAAGTGTGAGGGACACTGCCACTATGCCTGTCACCTGGTGACATAAATCGTCAAGTCCCATGTGCCTGTAATTTCACCAGTACCTCTTACCTTTCAAAATAGGAACGCAGTAATAGTCACATTACTGCTTGGCGGCAGAAATTGGTAAGGTGGCACTTTCCTGCATGAACTCTTTCTTTCATAAGGAGCTTTACTGCTACTACGATGTGGTGGACTACAGCTAAACTCTCCCCTCAGAGATGAGCCGTGGGATGATATATCTTTAAAAAAATATATTACTTAATGTACTGTTTGGTAAATATACCTTTTTTATTGCTTTATAGTTAAAATAAATTTTTGATAAAAATGTTTAAAATAATGTAAAGTAAAATCATAAATTTAGAATTAATTATGGAATGTAGGTCATAATACGTTTTCCGACTAAATTGTTCAACACATTTGTTTTTAATTTGAGTATACGAAATTTTCCGTGGACGACTAATACAAAATTTATATACGGTAGCTATGTATCACTCTTGTTTATAAATTGATTGTTTTGAAACATCAATGTCTAAAACTTTTGAATCACTATATTTTCAATTGAAATACATATAAATGTGGATGGAAATCCTTTGAAAGATCTGTTTATCGGTACATTTCGCTGTGATATCTACGTACATTTTAAATTCTAATTGGTTTTAGTGTTATACTAAATTATGAAGCAGATGAAGTGCTCTTTACGGACGATAATTATGGCATTACTGGGTTCAGGTGAATACATTTTGCGTTATTAACCTTCTGCTGTCAGATAACATTGATTACCCAATTACTGCCGCGTGGTGTCAAAAAAAACTTTTGGTTTTGAAAATTATTTTTTTGAGGAATAAAATAGAAAGTGGAAAAAAATATTTTGCCATGTAATGTACAAAAGTACGAGTATGTAGGTAATATGTCTAATACGATAAATAGACGTAACTTACAGTCTCTTCGGAAAAAAGCTCTTTATGTTCGATTAACAAGAACAGTGGTCAACAATCAATCACTGTTAAATTAAGCACTAATAATAGTGCTTGATTTACTTACATACGTAAGTTTGTTCCCTACTATGTTAATGGCTATGAATAAAGATTTATTATTATTTATTATTATTATTAAGAGACTCCATGTTTTACATATCGATAATTCGGAGAAAAAAGGGCACGAATGTCTATTATATAAAAAATAATTATTTTGTAATCAGGTTCATTTTCATGCCCCTTCTGTTTGTCTACTTAAAATTTAGCTCTTCGACAAAAAACAGTTACAAAAATAAAATAGGTTTGAACTAAAGTGTTTATAAGTTGTTGATTGCTCGTTTTTTAAACTTTGTAGTTTGGTATTTACGCCTTTTCTTTCCCGAAGTATCGACAAGTATATGTTCAAATGCAAATAATATTTATTCGTCAAAATAACTTATTAGGTACACTCATTATTGTTGTAAAAGTGCCCAAAAATCGGGCAAATTTTTTGACGACACAACGATCGACTCGAGTGATCAAAAAAAAGGAGTAAATTTGTAAGCAACAGATGATCAATTGTATTGTAAGTTTTTTTTGTAGATCGATATTTGGCGATCAACAAAAAATCGAGCAAATCTATATTCACATTGAAAGACTATGTTATTTAAAAAAGTTCTTAAAACCCCCAAAGCTCCAAAGTGCTACAGTACATCAAGCTACACACTTTTGTTCGAATATCGCTTCCAATGCAACGGAACAAGATCCGTCAATGTGTTTTTTTTTATTCTAATGTAAGTGTGCATTTTTTAGCTCTATCTCACCTGATGGGAAGTGACGATGAGGTCGACGATGGAGCATGCACACCTAAATGTGTAGTTTGATGTTCTGTCGTCGTACATTGAGAGCTTACATTGAAACTTTACTATAGTATGAAATATCAATTCTACGTCATTAGCTTTCTAGAATTATTGTCTGACAGGTGGTAAATTGTTGCAGCGCAACTGCAATAATAATATATCCTCCTATGACCCAGTAAAACACCCATTGCACATTAAAATGTACTAAATATAATTACACGCTTCAGGTTCAAGCAAGTTTTCCTTCATTTATTTATGTACAACGTATTTTTCTAGACACCTAATGGGCATATAAAATATACGTATAGTTCTAAATTTGAATGCGGTATCTTCATTATTATGTGCATGTTTACGTAATAATACTATCTTGAGTCGGAATATTCATATTCACATATTAGGCATGTAACTTTTGATGTACCTACACGGGGCCTTAGACTCCTAAGATATAGATATATATGAAGATCGTTATGCTCAAGTTTGATATTGTTACAGTGTCACATGTTAAGGGCTGGATGTTCTTCGTTCCCTTAAAGGATATAACGCTAGCGAACAGAATTGCTAATCCAAGTGAGTAATTTGTTAACTTTGTTATTCGAGATAAGTAATGTTTAGTAAATTAGTTGGCTACGATATGCAATATTACGTAGATAATCTTGACTACATTTTGAAAGGGCAATAAAATTTTTAGTATCTTAATTAATGCTTTTTAAGAAATTTCGTGTACTTGCCTGTACCTCGGTGCTCTTTTAATACAAAACTACATCTCTGTATATAACATAATACATGTAATTGCTTTCAAAGAATGATACATTAATAAGGGTGCGTATAGATCTGGTGAGTGCACTGCGAGCGCGCTGCTCGCATACTGTACGCCTGTTGTATGCGTGTTGCACGCGTGCTGCATGCGTGTAAATAAGTACACATTAATATATGTTTCGCGCGAGTGACGCGAGAACGGCACGCGAACAGATCGTGTGCAGCTAGCGAGCGTTTCACAAACAGGCGCATTACGCACCCTAATAAATATAAGAGACTTGTTATCAAATTGGAATAGCAGAAAAATCTCTCTGTATTAATTCTATGTCAATCAGCAGAGCTGTGGGATGTATGTATATAATTTGGTATAGTAAGCTTTAAAAAAAAGGTTTATAAAGAAAGTTTTTACAGCACACAAACACAGTGAATACATTTTTGGCGATTGCAGGAGAAGAGACATAAAGTTTTATAGCACTGTGCATTTGGATAATATGGATGTTCTCGGGAAAATTATTATTAGAGTAAGTATACAATAATAGTAGATTGTAACATTCGTAATACTAAAAGCAAAATTGTGTATTTGAGGGCGCTTTATGTTTTGAATTCAGAGTCGAGCGATGCAGATGTTCAGGCAGTGCGTCCGAATGTTACTCCTAAGACGGACATAACGTTGCTCCCGCATCCCGGTTGGACATGGGTAGAACCTAGCGATGGGCGAGTCGAGTTATTTAACTCGAATAACTCGAGTTAGTCTCACAACGAGTCGACTCGAGTTACTTTTTTAAGAACTCGAACTAACTCGATTCGGTACCCGCCTCGCCGAGCCGAATACTTCATTCATACAGCGCAATTCGCAATGGCTACTCGTTCTCACTCGGTCGGTTCGGTGACCTTCGGAGTATGCTCGAGTTGCGAGCGATGGGCGAGTCGAGCTATTTAACTCGAGCTACTCCCACAACGAGTCAACTCGAGATATTTTTTGTGAACTCCAGCTAGCTCGGTTCGGTTCCCGCCGAGTCGAATACTTCATACAGGTTCGGTGACTGGTGAATCGTCGGTTCGAGTTCTACTCACGACTCGCGGTTGATCTGTCATACACCGAGCGAGTTAACTCCAGTTGCAACTCGAGTTAGCAGTCACATCAACTCGAGTAACTCCAATTGAAAAAATGCAACTCGTCCCATCGCTAGTAGAACCGTACTTATTTTAACTTTACCCTGCAATGAAAATAAATTGAAAACGCTTAGAACAGCTGGCTGAATAGTTTGCCAACTAGTACTACTTTTAAGCAATCTTCTTCTTCATACCTTTTTGAATGCACTGATTATACATTCGACTCAAAATTAGGCCGGTAGGTGTGTGGAGTAACTGAAATGAAAAATAGTTTACTGGTAACAATAACTCTTTAAAAAAAATGGACCAGGAAACTCCGGATTTCCAAATCAGGTTACATACAAACCTAAATGAAATAACAATTTCAAAAAGTAATGATCAGTGTTTCCTTGTGATTTC